GAGTTTCGTAGAGATGGTGGCCCGAGCAAAACATTGGCGGGCTCAGGCCCCCCGCCGGGTCGGAACTAATTGCTAACGCTGCGGCGGCATGGGAGCGATTTTTTCTTGTATCTTCCAAAATTTTCGCTCTCGTAATTGTTGTTACCAGAGCGCTTTGAAAGCTGACGGGAGCGAAATCGCTTTTACATGTAAGGTCCAATCATTTATGGTTTTCACAAATTATTCAGAAGTAAAGTATACACACATGATTTATTCTGCCAGCAGGAAGATGCAGGAAAATTTGGGATGGATGTACAACAAGCCCACTGTGGAGCGGGATGAGTACCTGATGGGGAGGAAAGTCGATAGAGCATTTGAACAACTAGAAGGACAGCACCAAGAGGAAAGCATATTAGGTATTACCATGAACATGTACATACATCATAATATTACATAATAATACATAGAATATCTATATAACCATTCTATACATATGTTCATTATAATTATAATGAACATAGGTATAGAATGGTTATAGATTCTATAGGGTTTATATTGAGAATTTATCGGTTGGTCAGACCCCATATATGTGTTTTGGAAGAGCCCTAATACATGTGTTCTTGATTATATTGTATTGATCATGTGTTAATGGTATATCAACAATACATAAATTATCTAGGAAAGATAAGTTGCAAGTTTCACATGTGTTGCTGATGTGTACTCAGTCAATGATTTAGTCGTGGTTTTTTCCAGTGTTTGGTTGTATATATTGTTTGGTTTAGTTTCGTGATAAATTCTAAACATTTACTAACAAAGTAACTAACATGAAAGCTTTGTCAGCCAAATTCCAAAATTAAATTACAAGTTATACAGTAAAACTCGCATAAGTCGTCATCGTCTAACTCGTCAATTCGCATAAGTCGCCATGGAAGTCAAAGTCCCGATTTTATCTCATAGTAAATTTATTGGAATAGCCCCGCTTAAGTCATCCTTTATAAGTCGTCATTATGTACAAGTCGTCTCCCTCAGACCGGTCCCATGTAATAAAAACAACAGTAATTTCCCATCTGTAAGTCGTCGTCAGAAATGCCGATGGCTCAGTGTACGGTCTAGGACTCTAGGGGATGTGCGAGCTGGTTGTCGCAGATATGCGCTTAGGTCGAACCATGGTCGAACTGACGATTGTAGATCGCGCAACTGAGTTTACATGAATTGTTGCTGTTTGCACTGATTGTTTCATTCACATTGTTCATTTGGACGCATTGTGTTTTTTTTCAGCTCGTGTGGAAACAGTCGCGTCGCGTCGCAAAAGTAGTTCATGTAGATATAAAGCCTGGCGAAATATCAGCTTGACACTCGCCAAGTCGTCGAAATACCGGCTTTGTAAATCGTCAAAATGACGATATACGTGCATAAGTCGTCATTTGGGCGACTTACATATAAGTCGACAAAATGACAACTTACACGTATATCGTCATTTTCGTAAGTTGGCACAAATATGCTGGTCCCAAAAGTGTCGACTTATGCGAGTTTTACTGTATTAAAAAATTTAACTCAACAAATATTTAAAAATTAATTTATTCCCTGTATTTTGTATGTTATCTGCTTTTCCAGACAAGCCAGGAGCCAAATTTGGGCATAACCATGGTTCCTCAACTATAGATAGTGAAAGCAAAATTAGAGAGGATCCATTGCTTGCTATAAGGTAATATTAATATATATTAGATTATGAATGAAAATAAGGTGATGGCTGATCTTTTTATTAATTTTACATGTGGTATGTCAGTCCTTGTGTTTTGAAAAAGACAGGCGAGTGAAAAATCACACACCTTGGCTTGACGAGGCAAACTAGGGGGTTCGGGGGCATGCCCCCCCGGGAAAAATTGAAATCTAGACTTCATGAAATGCCATTTCCAGCATTTTGGGATAAAAATTAGCTCTGCATTTGTACTCTTAATTCGGACATTTTTTAGGTGATTTTTATTTCATCTAACAAAATATCAGTTCTTGAACATATTGATGGATAACTTGAATCACACATTTAGCATGTTTAGTCAAAAAGGAACAACACTCAATTTTTTAAAGCAGACTATTAAAACTTTAATAGTATTTGCAACATCATAATCATTCAGTCACTTGTTTGCATTTTTGTCAATTTGAGGTATTTCAGTTTCATTTAAAAAAAACATACATGTTTTGCAATAAAACTTCACTAAAAACTTTAATCATAAGTGATGAGCGGATGAATTAATGTTAAAGACTGCTGTTGGTATAAACGTTACAACTGTCGTTATAAACATGTGAACCGACTTCCGGCAATGTCCGTGATGTTTACAACCGTTTGCGTTTATCTTCGAGTTCATAAGTTGAATTAATGAAAAACAAAACACGAAGATGAGGGGTGCGTTTTGATAATGCTTAGATGCGCGTTTTTTCACACTTCTCCTGATCGATCGAGGCGCGCGATCGCGCGCCTTAAAACACAAGGACTGGTATGTCTGTGACATCATTCCTTCACTGCATTGATCTTAGTCACTCGTGTTGTCAATGGGAAAAATTTAGTTATTATCATTACTATGATTACTTTGGTGAACCCCAGCTGACCGCGTTCCACCCATTTGCATTTCTCTCTCAACAGGATGAAAGAAGAAGAGAAAAAAAGAGAAATTTTTAATAATCCTGTAAAGATGAAGCAGCTTCAAAAAATGGTAATTAATAATTTGTATTTAAAGTGGGTAGTAGAGCTCATAGAGTGCAAATTCATTTTTTATAGGTGCCGCAATGGTTTTCATGCAACGCGAATCTCGCGTGGAACTCTTGCGGCCGAAAACTGCTAATTCTTGAGTTTCGGTCCACTAGATGGGGATAGCAGCGGTATAAACATGCTTGCACGTTGGCAGTAACAGATCAGCGGATCAAGAGAGTCTATGTCGTGTCAATAATATTTCAAAATTTTTCTGTGCAGTGATTGTTGTGTTTGAAATTAATTTCTGTTGCGTATTTTTCGTATGTATCGACTGTTTCGGAGTGCCAAGAATGGCAGATGAGTGACAGTGGCCAAGAGTGCATGGGTATTTATAACTGCGAGAAAATGCAGTTGGTCAATATAATATTTTGAATTTGTGAACTCTGTTCGTACTTAACATCTGCAAGAAACAATTACTAAATGTGCTAAAAATCATTTTCGTAGACACGTGGCACTGTGCTAAGCTTACTTATGTTAATATGTTTTAGGCAGAAGAACGGCAAAAAAGCAAGAAGAATAAAAAAGGAAAGAAGCACAAAAAACACGGATTGTCAGACGAAGAAGATATTGATGCAAAACTCATCACCTTATTAAAGATGAAAAAGAAGCTCAAGGCTTCTCTTGCTATTTCCAGTGGCTCTGATAGTGATAACCAGGAATCACGGCACAAAACCAGGACTGACCCTCAGCTTGACACAGAGCGTAGGTATAAAGATCACTCGAGCAAGCGTAGGCACAGGCACGACAGCAGCAGCGAATCTGACAGCTCTAGCGAACATCCGAGAAAGGAACGCTCGGCTGCAATTGTGAGGCATAGACAGAAGCGGTCGGAAAGAAGAGAAAGAAGAGATTGTGGAAGTAAGTCTGAGCATAGTCATCGGTCAGTAAGTAGGGAACGCCTTCTCGAACATCAAACATCCTGTAAAGATCCAACAAAGGAAGATGAGAATACAAAGATGCGCCACACATTAGTAGATAAACATGGGCAAAAACACCTTTTGTTAGAAGACGGCATTAGGGAAAGGGAAGAGTATTCTATAAGAAATTCAAAGAAGAGGCAACACTCTCATGCAAAAGATGCCGATAAAAGACATAGGCACTCTTCAGATGATGAAGTCAAGAGAAAGGACTGTTCTTCAGAAGAGAAGAAAAAGAGAAGACATAAATCGTCAAAAAAGGAAGCCAGGAGAAAACGCCACTCTTCAGAAGGGGATGATAGGAAGTCACAATACAAAGAGGAATATCCAGCCACAGTGAATCATCCAACAAATACAGAGGAAGAGGTCGACAGTTCTCGTAAGATTCAAGACATGTACAGGGAGCAGGAGGAGGAAGGTGGTGATAAACGAGTTGCATATGGACTTATTGTGAGGGTAATATTTCGTTTTTTATTGTGAGTTTGTGTGTGAATAACTAAGCAAAACATAAGTCAAAGAGTGCAGTTGAACAGAATGTATTCGGTTATGTAATGTTTAGATACCTACTCTCGACATATCTATTTTCAAGAAACAAATTTTAAGATTTGTTTTGCTACTTTTATTTGTTGCTTTTTATGCTTTTATTAGTGCTTTTATAACGTTTCCTTGGCACATCTGAAACCTTGATAAAGTAGTGCTCTGGCAACAGCTTTAAATTTCGATGATAACTGTACAGACAAATGACCACAGTTATCGGTGCTTCTCTAAGATAAAAATAATCTGTTATTTGTTTAAAAAATTTACAATTTGTTGAAGTTCACACTGTCAGTTAACTACATTACTTAGACGATTAACAAATAACTATAGTGCTTTTCTGATTGGAGGATTTTAGTTCTTGCGTAGGCCTATTGTTATTAGTCGGGTAGTAAGTCGGTCATTTCATGTGTATCTATCCATCAAAACATTCTGCCGTGGCTTAAAGTTATTGCATATTTGTTGCATTTTCGGAACATTTTGTAATAGTGCAAGCCATCCCCACTGCAGGATATCTAAGCTGGGGTCTCCACGTTAAATGATTGGAACATCTGTATACCATCCTTTTAAGCGCTACCATTAAGGCTTAAATTTACATGGTATTTTTCCCTTTTAATCATTGCAGAATGCAAAGGATAAGGATGGTAGCACAAGCAAGTCTAATTCTCCTAGGTTAAGGGCCAAGAGCAAAACGCCACCGAAAATAGAGGAAAAGTACATAAAACCTAAACCAAAAAGGTATACCTAGAAATCGTAATCTAATTACTCTTCTTTCTTTAAACATTAACCATGTTATGTGACAAGAGGATGCAATTTAATGCAATGAATTAAAGGGATCGTTTACTTTAGGTTCTAGGGTCATTTTCAGTTAATTTAGGTTAAAATTATGCTACATAAAAAGTTTCATGGTTCATTCACCATTAGAAATATTATTAAAAAATGTTTTAAAACTAACGACTACAGTTTGATTACAACGACGGTGGCGCCACTCAAAGCGCACAATCTGATGAGTTGCGCAAAACCACGTTTCAGCCAAGGGCTACATACTGAGGGTGTTTCTTATTTATTAATTTAAAAGCAAAAGGATTGTAATCTAATATATATTTGAGTTCGTATGTATGTATGTATCTTCCCTATAGGCGGCCAAACCGCCCAAGCGATCTGGATGCAATTTTCACAGGGCCATCTCTTATACCCGGGGAGTGTTCCTAGCTTAAAAAAACCTGCCAAACCGTCAAACTCACCGAAAAATCCGTGAAAAACCCCTCAATTCGTGAATCTTCACACAATGTCAGCACTGACTGTACAGTGCTGCCACACAGAGAAAAATCGATCACTCATTCCATCAGCTGCTGGTATTGTGAAACCGAAACCGAGCACCGAGCTAAAACAGAGCACAGCCAGTTCAGAGGTTACGACTGCATTGTTTATCAACAAGCTTTGAAATGAGAAGCGCAACCCATTCGTACATGCTGTTACGTGCCGTACGTGCCATACGTGCATGCCGTACGTGGGGAGCTCAACAGTTCGAGACGCCAGGAATCTTTACATATTTCCACCAGAGAATAACACGAAAAACATTGTTTATCAAGAGGTTTTCAAATGAAAAGTCCAACCCATTCGTACATGCTGTTATAATAACTTTCTGTCATTTACACCATATTACTATTATGTTCCAGGGGTTCTAAGTTGGGTTGTGCTGTCATATAAATGTCATACGTAACAGTTTTTCCCATGCTTATTATCTTATTAGACTGATTTCTAAATATTTATATTGTGTGCAATGTTATTGTCGATTTTTACCCAATGTTCCTATTGTGTCCCATTATTAGTAGTATGAATTAGTAGCACGATTTTACCCAGCGCAGCGGGTACCAGCAGCTAGTATCTTATAAACGGCATATAGTTTCAGTTATAATATGGATAAATTTGCCCTAAAATGAATATCGTTCGGTCAAATAGCATTTAGATATAAATATAATTGCACTTTTGTGATTAGCCCTCGGTCTGTAACGTGCAAAATAAATTGTCAAATACGCAACTTTTTTGGGGTGGCAGCACGGTCGCAGGTGTCATGGCTCCGTTCAAATTTCGTAGCGTATGTAATTGATTATAACAATTAAATTAGGTATCTGGTAACAAATACGTGTGGTTATAGACGATTTGTTATACAGTAAGTACTGTTGTATGCAGTAAAATCCTAGAGTCTACTATCCCTTTAAATGTATTCTACATGTACATGAGGTTTTCTGCCTGTACAGTAAAACTCGCATAAGTCGTCATCGTCTAAGTCGTCAATTCGAATAAGTCGACAGGGAAGTCAAAGTCCCGATTCGCTCTTATAGTAGTTCCATTGGAATAGCCCCGCCTAAGTCGACATTTATAAGTCGTCATTATGTACAAGTCGACGCCCTCAGATGGGTCCCATGTACTACAAACAACAGTAATTTCCCATCTGTAAGTCGTCATCATAAATGCCGATGGTGCCGTGTACGGTCTAGGGAATGCGCAAGCTGGCTGTCACAGACAGATTGTTTGAATCGCATTGTTTGCTTGGACGCATTGTGTTTTTTTTCCAGCTCGCAGCTCGGCACACGTCCCCCAGATTCCCCACTGTATACAGTGTATATAGTGTAATGCAGCCAATGCCAGGGTGCGAAATTAACGCGAGTCTGGATCGAGTCAAAATACTCCCGTGATTTACTGCGGACCTGCCTCGTGATTTTGACATATGCAGGAGTCCGTGCGACTCCCTGAAAAACTAATTCTGCTATAGCAGTACGTAACTAGTTCATTCGGCAGAGCACGCCTCGGCGGAATTACCGTATTTTTTCCAGCAAGTTGTTCCAAGAAATTTGGCAGAATCGTGCACCGGCAAATGTCCTGGCAATTGCATAATATCAGGAGTGGTATCAATTTTGATAGCACTCCTATAATATGTATATACGTATATGATATATATCACTAGAAAGGCAGTTAGATGCAACCGACGAAGATCATACACGCACGCAAGGCCGCGCAACACACACACAGCGAGCACACACCACACAGCGAACACACACAACACACACAAAACACACGTGCATGACCATACGCGATACATATGCACTCCACGCACGACGGTGCCTGCATACTCACAGCACGCTCAGTCGCACGCGCGCGCATACTCACGATTGCTAATACAGCACATATGGTCAACGAATGGCATTATGTGATGTACGATGTACACTGTGTGAACGCAGAGAAGCTCGCTCATCATGTGACTTGTTGCTGTGTGCATATATGTTGTGTACATGACTGTATGCAGTGATTGCTTCATTCCCATTGTTCGCTTGTTCATTATGCATACTCGTTGCAGCAATCACGAGGCAGCTAATACAGTGTATACGCGCATTACATAAGTCAAATTGCATTGTATAAAGCAAAAAAATGTCGACTTACGCGTAAGTCGCCATTTTCGTAAGTCGACACAAATATGCTGGTCCCACAAGTGTCGACTTATGCGAGTTTTACTGTATATGAATTCAATTGTATTTCAGGAAGCTAACAGAGAAGGAACTAGAAGAGAAGATGTTAGAGATGATGGACAATGCAAAGTGGAGAGAGGAGCAAAGGAGGAGAAAAGTAGATGAGTACAGCAAAGATGAGAGCAAAGAGGAGGCTGATCATGGAAAGCATGGGGCAAAGTTTATTGCGTGAGTGCTGCTGTGTTGAAGACTGTAGAATCAGTAGCAATTGGGATGCAGAAGTGAAGGGTTTGGGCAGTACACACAAATTCTGTCCTACTTAACGTGACCATAACTTACTTGGTGGTAAAGCCGGATATCCTGCATATTTGTCGTCAACACTGTTCAACCAGTTTGATTTTGGTTGTCAAAATCCGTGGTGGGATAAACACACGTAGTCCACAGCTGTGTTTGCTCTGCCTTTATATGGTAGCTATGGTTTCAATTTAATTTTCAAATCTTCACGTTAATTATCACATTTTTATTTCCATTTCACATCATGTTTAGTTCATCTAGCCTATAATTAGACACAACTTCCCTGTAGCTTTGGCTCTTTTCCTCTGTGTTATTGCGTCAGCATTAATGCTTAATTCAACATTAAGTCAGTTAATTAACTGATTCTACCATACTGCAACCAGGCATCATTATTAAAAATTTATGAAATTTTGTACCCTTGACTCATGCATCCCCCTCCTCTGAAATGCTACACATACTTAATCTCACAGACTGTAGACTGCGCTTGATGGATGTTTTATTTGAGGTTACTGCATGCTGTGTCTGCCTTATTGCTCATATCTTGAAGTGCAGAGGCGAAAACCGTGAGAGATGTCTGCAACGTATGAGCGCAATTCACTGTAAGCATAAATTATTGCAGGCCGATGGTGGCACAGGCTGCTGGCAAAGGTTCTGTGGAAGACAGGATAAAGAGAAACATCTACAAGGTGCAAAGAAGCAGTGCAGCACATCATCAGCACTTTCTAAAGAAGTAGCCAAGCTGCAGCTATGGTGGCACCATCATCATGATCATGTCAGGTTCACATTGTCAACAGTAATTGAAACTAATTTCAATGGGGAGTAAATGTTGTGAAATCAAATGGAAAGTACTAGTGTTGCAATATGAAAAGATTACAAGGGAATTTTTGGTTTTATTAAAAACCCACTAGTGTCGAATTACCGGTCCTGTACATTTTACTGTGTAAGTAAAAACTGCATATTTTTTGACATTTTTTTTACTTGATTAAGGTTCTGTCGTGTTAGTTTTATAATAAATACTGCAAAAAATACAGAGTATTGTTAATACTGCAAAGCATGTTTGTTTTATTTTTTGCATTTTTGGATTTGCATAATACTTCTACTAAAACAAGACAAATCAGATTCATAATATGAGACAGTCAGAAACTGTGAGTGCATTTAACAATGCCTATATCCCTGGTTCCCAACCGGGGGTACTAGTACCACCTGGGGGTACCAGCGAACACCACAGGGGGTACCTGGGAAGCCTCTTAGACAATTTAAAAAAAGTAGTGATATATAATGATGTAGTGATTCAGGCATCTCTATGGACAGTGCCAACAAATCATGGTTTTCGGTCGAGGCAAGCAAGCGACAGAGTGGTACCCTCCGCGTGCCAGCGCAGCAGTAGACATACGTCCCCGCAGCACGAGTGTGGTAGGGTTACCCCTCTGTGCGTCAGGGCAGTAGCAACATTCCTAAACAGCCACTGAAGCGCCTCCTAGAAACAACGTCAGTAACTGAATTTTGGTGCAGTCAGCAGATACGCGAGGCCTACCCGGCTATGGCTCGTGAAGCTATTTCCGTTCTAGTTACGTTTGTAACCAGCTACCTGTGTGAAGCAGGCTTTTCAGCGATGGTTACAATCAAGACAAAAGCCCGTAACCGCCTTGACATCCGCAGAGACATGAGAGTCGGTCTGTCAAAAACTGAACCGTGGTTCAAAAAGTTAGTTTCTGCCATGCAGCAGCAGTCTTCTCATTAAACTGTCGTTTAGTGCACAGTGCGCTTCATTGGGAAAATTCGCTGTGCGACTGCATTAATAAAACATAAACATGATGTCAAAATATTCATGACAATACATCAGTGTTGGTTTTTCATTTTGCTTATGCAGGGGCGTGTACAGGGGGGGGCCAGGGAATCTGGACCCCCCCCTGCTCGCGCAGAAAACGCATCTAAGGGGGTCTGATTTCAAAATTTTTCTGGGGAGGGGCCCCCTTTGCATGCTCGCAAGTTTGGGTTACGGTTAGACCCCCCCCTGGTACAAATCCTGTACATGCCCCTGTTAGGAGATAGCGTAAAAAAATTAGGGGTACGGGGAGTCCAAAAGGTTGGGAACCACTGGCCTATATGGTTAATCTATGTGTATAGACTGTAACGAAAAATAAAAATGAGCATTAGTTTATGATTATGCAAAAAAAACTGTACAAATGCTTACATATACATGTTAAAATGGCATAAAAAATGGAGTGAAACAAGTATTTTAAGCTAATTCCAACAGAATGAGCTAACCTAGTCATGAAAAGAAGAATATATTCACAATGCGTTCTTTAAATGTACAATTCGATAAGTTGAGTACATTTGCCTGAATATGATTTTGATTATATAAATCTTCGCAGCAATTCAAACAATCACCTCATTAAAACTCTCATTGCACTAATTAATCACCAGCAATAATTACTGTTACACTGGCTGAAATAAAATCCCATTCCATTGACAATATCGTCATACTGGCCAGTGAAAGCTGCTACCTCTGATAAATATTACGGTCATATTGACCAGTCAAAGCAGCTTTCTCTAATCGATATTATGGTCACACTGACCAGTCAAAGCAGCTTTCTCAGACTAATCTGGGTCAGATATTGCACCCATTTCTAAACAGATGAGAAACGCACTGATCCTCGGGGAATCACACCACATGCAAATGAATAACAAATACACTAAAATGTGGTAAGATTGGGGCCTTTGGGCAGAGCTTCCCTGATTTCTGTATCGTGTTTGGAAGTACGTAGGCATTTCCCAGTTTGAAAACATTACTTGCATAGTAGATTTGAGTCAGAAATGACAGTAATGTCATCTTTATCCTCGCACATCCAATTGCTCAGGACTTTGACAGCAACGTGTAATTTACCGACTGCAAAATTGGAAGCTTACAAATAACATTTACATGTGTTAATTAGACATTAGTCCAGTCATTTCTATACGTAATCACACAATACTGAAAGGCAAAGCAATTGAACATGCTAGCCTAACGATGTGGGTTCTAGAGAACCAATGTGAAAACTAGCACTAACACAGCAATAGCTACTAACTTCTAGGTTAATATACTACACACTAAAGTCATAAGAGCTGTAAAGTCATTATCGTACAACATTTACATGACTGTACATCTGTACAGAATACGTTTTTTTCACTTTACAATTTGGCACTAGTTACAATGTTGACTGGTTAGTGACCAGTGTTCCACTTGAACAACGTTAACAATTATTATTGACCACGAAGTGACCAGGATTGCACTGATACACCTTCGGATTTCATGAGTAACCATTCAGTAATAACATCGTTTCTATCTATCTAAAAAGACTACATATCTAGTATAGATGATGGAACAATACAAGAGCTGACTATAAACAGAACACTGCACCCCAGAGTCATGAGATTATTGCAGTAATTAATAGATGTCTTTCATAGGCCAATATTAAAATTTATGCAGAATCATCATTAAAACACTATAGATATTAAATGGATACTAATGATTTAAGACAGACTTAAGGTGAAAATAATAGCAATTAGTTTAAATAAAGTCATGTCAGTCTTCCTGTATGTGTGTTGGGGTGTTACCGTGTGCGTCCAAGCATCTGTGCCCATGCGCACGTCTGCACGTGCGTGCGTGTTGTCAATTATCCTTGTATGTGTGTGTATGTGCGTGCCTGCAAATATGTTTGTAATAGTTAAACCATCAACATACAAGTCAACTTTAATAAATACAAGGATTACTATTAAAATTCATATTTGCAAATAGTAGTAATTAGTAACACTTTAAATTATCCTTAAGATGTATTCCCAGGCAGCTTATTGACTAGCATGTTAAATGAATATATTCAAACCTAGATTGTCTACAAGATTGGGTTATAATGTATTATATTAAGTAAAGAACTTTATCATTCTAGCTAATCACTACCAACATTATTAAAACACAGTGCACTTAATCAAACTGTTCTGTAAATTGTCAATCGCTGGCCAGCTCCTGCCTAAGTAAAATAATAAAAATGACCGTTGCAGCTAAAACACATATTATTTTCACTAGGTTTGCCAAGACCATATTTTGAAAAACTTAAAAATGTGCCCTATGTTGCCTTTGACTTTCGCGTCCAAACTTCGACAGTACATGATCCTATACCTCAAATATAGGGCCAAGTTGAGATATTAGAAACCGTGGACCCTACTGAAGATAGTAATGCATAGACTTCATTTAAATAAATATTTCTGAATCTTAAACAAAAGTTCATTAATGAGAATCCAAAAAAATTCAATTACCAATGAAATGCGAAATGTAAGTCGCCACACTAACATTCTTTCTAGCCATTCTTTCGAAAATCGCCATGGTAGGTTGTTATAAAGTACAACAATTCACTTTAAAAATACAACAGCCGATGCCTTTTAATGGTTTCCAAAATCACTCCGACCAAGGTTTCTTTAGCGAGCTGTGATATCCTAACAAGACCTTTACAGAAGAAAGACGGTGCATCCACATCATTTCATGCTAACACGTCTTTCAATGACTTCTCACTTCACCTCCGGTTTCTGTCCGATGCCCACAATGATGACCTTTCCATCTCCCAATCCTGCCAGCAGGTGGGTGTTGCCAGGGGCAACGTACAGGCAACGGATGCAGCTGTGTAGCGGCATAGTGACGACGTGCTTCAACCTGTCATCGTCAATATGAAAACAATTATTTAGCAAATCATCTGCTCACACAGCATGCACATCGGTAAAGATGGAATTCAACACAGATTAGTACTAGCCGGCACACATACGAAGAACACATACAAAGACTGCACATGTCTCGGATACATACAATATACACAAAACCGAGCTTTCTTCATGTTTTCAACTAGAGCAAAATTCTCTTTCGATCGCCAACTTAAAAAAACAAAGTTTAGAAAACGCAACTGTTTTTGAAAATTGGAATTGTACGTAGAGAAATGAAGAAAGGCTGTGGGAAGATCGATTGCACAACGAGAAGAAATGGCAACATCAAGGTGCCTATCTTCCAACTTTACCAAAATAGTTCACGAATTGAGAGCTGTCCACCATCATTGCCAGTCACTAGGTGGTTAGAACTGATGATCATGTGTGTTACAGCAGCAGGTACCGTCTCGCAGGCGAGGTGCTTGCCGTTGATCGAGAAGAGGTGCAGAGAATATGCCACCTACAACAAGAGACATACGTCATCATATACTAAACCTCAACCCATGAGTATGCAGCATAAGCCTGGGAACAGGAACAGAAATGCCTGAGAAAAACACTGCAATCGTACTCTTCATATACTATCCTTGCTGGCATCGATGCAGACAAAACGATTTAAAGATGCTACTACATTATTGTGATGACTGTGAAGGGGTGCTGGTAGTGATAGTAGGTGAAAAGCCCTACGTACCTCACTGCCACTCTGTGCCTTGCAGTAAGCTACGATGTGCCCCTGATCACCGATGGCTAGAGATGGTATTATGAGTGAAGCCAGACACGGCGGCTGCAACGTGTGCATATATTGTCCCTTCCTCACAGTATGGATGATGCACGTCCCATCCTATTGAAATGCAGCAGTTAAGAGATTGTTGATAAGAACTGTGCACATATGCATCAGGTGCATTATATTAGCATCCATGTGTGCGGTGCACGCGTGCACAAGTGCAAGCATGTGCGTTCATGTAAGCAAAAGCTTAAATTCAGCATGTAATTTTCAGAAACTAAAATCGAAAGAATGCTCGTTATTTAATATATAATCTCTGTAATACCAGTGATCCAGACACAGCCATGTCAAGCTCAATAGAGATGGCACAACATGTTACTGCTGCATCGTGTCCATAAAGTATCTGCAAAGGCTTGCCAATAATTCCCAGTGATGCACCAGACTGGAAATATGAAAGTATTTACTATGTTATAATAGTGGTCCTCAGCTTGAAACTACTTTCAAGCAATTTCTATAGGCTTTCGCATGATCATTCAATAATACACAATTAAAGGAACACCTTAAGTCAAGCATAAACTTTACTTTTAGAAAGACAAATATATCAGAAATTATTTTCTAATGTTGAAACAAAAGTTAATTAAACTGTTAAATGACAATAAGTTCAGATAGAAAAGAAATCGGTCAGAAATGCAATATTCTTGATTTTCTGTAGAATGTCATTTACACTTTTAAATTTGCTTCACGAATTCTCCAACATCTTTTAGATAGCATATTGTCAACCTACCCTGTCTTGTGTGAGTTCCCACACCATGCAGGTAGTGTCTTGTGAACCTGAGATGAGATGACTTCCACAGCTATCCAGATCCAGACAAGTGACTATGTCTAAAACGACACATTACTATCATTTAATAAAATGGTTTACGTGACTTGAATGATTAATTGAAATTAATTTGAATAAGTATTAAAGTGACGATGATGAGTTAGTGGGAGAACGATAATACTATTATAAACTAAGAGCATATGACAATGATTCTAAGTAACTGCTCAAACTAGAAAGTGAGATGGTAAGTAAGTTAATTGAGTAGCTAACTGAGTGCCAAAGTGACCGAGTGTGAGACATTCATGTTAAACACAATATAAAATTAAATAAATGAGTGAATAAGCGAGTAAATGAGTGAGTGAGAAAGTGAAAGGGAGGGATGGAGAGAGGAAGGAAAGTCTCTTCATTCACTGCTAAAGCGTTTAATATGTATGGCCCTAATATTCATATGTAAAGTATCCCATAATTCTACTGCAATCATGCGCTATCAATGGCAACTGGACGTATAGGTGTTTGTACCCGTGTGACGGATGACGTATGCTGTAGTCTTTCCCTTCGTTAGATTGTAGACTCGGATACTGTTGTCCCAGTGGCCGCCGGAGAACAGCAGACGAGCGTCGTGGGATGTCACAAATAACCTTGAATCAACCTTTAAGCCTGGAGAAAATGGACCGCCCACTTTCTTTCTCGTCCTGTGAATATATAAAATAAAATAAATCGAGTTCAATGCGAATTTAAAAAGTGAGAGCTTTCAGCAATGGATTGAATAGGAAGTGACAAAGAGCAGCTTACATGCTTACGGAAGGGAAATGAACCAGTACATAGCAGAATAAATGTGGTTAAATGAGTGTACATATGAAGATAGTATTCATTATAATAACAAGCGATTCAGGAATTAGGGAACTACCTATATATTGTAAATCTATATAGGCTAGAGCAGAATATCAAAGATGCCAAACATCCATACATTTTCTAACCAACTAGCACCTAACCTCACCTGTGGTGCCATCTATATCACGAGCAAGCATATGATAGCAAAGAGAAAGATCAGGAATGAACATACGCAGTAATAATATAGATTTGTGGTGTGACCCAAATTAGCAAAGCCACCCAACTGCCCAATACACGAGATGTGGTGATAACTTCACTTACTCATTGAAACCTGTGAGTAATTGTATCCCTAATACTATATAAAAGACAAATTTATCCAATTTCTTTCATAATGTCAAATGTGACATTAATTAATTGTGTTAAGAGGGTGTGATACTATACAATACTAGATGGATTCCAATAATACATAGATATCATACAGAGAATTCACATATTTATAATAATACCTGAAACAATAGGTGCATGACTGTATGCATACACATACTAACATACTGACATGTATACTCACTTAACATTGGCTAACGATGAGTCCTTTTCAAATGTGAAGTAGTTGGATATGGATTTATCATAAGGTAGCCATCCATGCACACCGACCACTCCCAAGTCTGTGATTGTCACCTAAACAAACACAAGAGTTTATACACTCTCCGTTACACACCTGACACACATCACGCGAGAAAGGTACGCTTCTCACGGAGGCTAATTTAGCTTGATCAACACTTGAAGTGATTACGTCACCGTAAATATATAAAAAAATATATATATTTCCACTTTTTCACAAAATATAAGTAATTCTGTTCACTTTTTATGGTTAAATTGCTGCATTATACTTCTTATTTTACTATATTGTTCGATGTAAACATACACCTGTGACTCATACATAGCCCATAGCAAGCAATTAATGTTAGGAACACTAATATCAAATCGTCCAGGTTTTTTTGATTTTTAACTAGTTGAGAAACAATCTTATCAGGTAAGAATTTGACGATACGTTTAGTCCCGTTAGTTCTTACTTTTAATGTAAAAAAATGGCAACAAAATTTTTACATATTTTACCATAGAAAATTCGTGACGTAGTCAATTTAACAATCATTTCTCAATAAAATATATAGACACTAAAATGTTACACTCGGTAGCAGTGATGCGTGTTTACGTCTGCATTCATTACCATTGCATCGGGCATCCCATGCTGGATGAACGAGCGGGCCTGGTTCTTGGGCACATCCACATAGATGATAGGTTCCTTCTCTGCAGACACCTGCAGGCAAATACATCTCTGTAGATCTACTAGTGTACTGGTGTATACACCGTTGCTAATGGCCACGTGGGACTGACGGGGTTCATTGCAGCAGTACAGCACTGAGACTTTGACTGATGTTTAAACCAAGAAGGCAAGAGGGTGCATGGTGGAAATTCAACCTAGATATAACAGATGCCACACGAATTGAAAGAGACTGATATACGGGCGACACTGCAATGCTTACCATACTATTTGAATGTACATCCTCTATATGATATTGGCTATATATAGATGTTCAAGTTACTTGCTAGACACTCTACTTAAATGGCAGCTCTTACGAGATGATTTCTACTTTAAAAATAATATGCAGCTAGTTTTGTTAAAACCTCGCTTTTTAGATAAGGCTCAGTTATGAACTTATGGGGACCATTAATTAGGCAATACATGCGCAGTATATTGATTGTTAGTTGAACACTTGGTCACATGTCAAAAAGTGCAGACTTACTACGACTACAATGAATCCAACATTAGTAAAAATTTTACCACACAAGATGTTCAGACATGATAGATGGTCAGTCTGTACCTTTCACGCCACATATGAGGGGCGTTACAATCTGATCAAAACCGGAGCCAGTCTGAGACTCTCCCTCGTGTGAAATCATATCTCTCTAGGTTCTGCACTCAATCTGTATTCGAACTATTTTACAGACGTGTGCGTCCCGACATTAGAGAATTGCAGTAATTGGTGACCACCACCACCGATATGTGTGCCACTTGGTGACTACTCATTGATAGATGGACCGATAGGCAATAATACGATGTGTGCACCTCAACGAAGAACGCCTTCAGCTGGCCCAGGAAGTTGAACAGGTTGAGTTTCCTCGGCTCCAACCTCTGCATGCGCAGCATCGCCTCTTCAAACGACATTCTGCGTGGATGGGGATCCTACGACATAAGGGCAAAAACATCACTATACCTTACCTGCTGTGCACAATAGGGGTTACACACTCATCGAAACTATGTGGCCATGTAATGTGGACTACAGCATGCAGAATATGCTTGAAAACAATGTACGTGTGTGTGTGTATGTGCGTGCGTGCGTGCGTGCGTGCGTGCGTGCGTGTGTGCATCTAATTAACATGCAACTTCTAGCAACTTTATGGCAGTTGTTGCCAAGAATACTCTGGTCTGGTCTGGCTGGTCCCCATCATATCTATTTGGTAGACTTCTCACCTTTAGAAGTTGACAGGGCGTCTGCCCAAAGTTGTTTATCATTCCTTCTACTGCCTTTCTCTCAGCTGGATCTACGATGGCCTCAAGGTCCACAGCTCCTACAAAAA